AATGGCCCCTCTGCCGGCCTGGTTGCCCCATGCAGCCTGCTGTTTATTCGTTTGGTCGTCCCTCACTAACCCCCCTGACAGCCTAGTTGTAGGCAGCCATCTTGTGAGGTTGTGAGGGTTAATTTGCATATTACCTCTTTATTAGATAGGATAGCAGAGAATTGCAATTTAGGACAAGCAAACTATGACAAAGCTGTAGGCAACTCTGGAGAACAAAGGAGAGGAACACTTTTGCATAGAGAAAAGGGAGGAGTTGGAAAGGGCTGTTGTGAACAAAATGTCCATGGGAGGAAACCTGAAGTTCAAAGTGTAGTGGCTTCTCATTGGCTGAATCATGACAGTTTCTCATTGGCTGGGTCTGTTGCTAGGCAAGGAGAAAAATCTTCCTTCCTTCTGCTGGAATAGCGAAGCAAGTTTCTTCTTGTCAAGAGATATAAGGGTAAGCTTCTTCCTTTTGGAATCTGTAACGTGTAGGTGAGTGGTAGTGAGTGAGAGCTCCCTCTGTAGGACTATTTGACTCCATTTTAAATTATGTTTCCTTGTTCATTTTCACACCTGGTTGGCACAAAGCAATGGCTCTCTGCCTTGACTGCTCAAATCCAACCCAAATTAAATTAGAGTCTCCACAGTGAGACTCAAGCAGGGGTATATTCCAAAGCTTCTGGGAGATTTCAGTGGGCATCCAACCGAGAAGCACTGGCATAAGGAAGTCAGGGCCTCCATTCTTTTATGGAGTTACCCAGAGGTCACTGCAGAGTCCTGCCAAACAGACACCAGAGGGAGGCAGGGAGGAATGGTGAGTGGGTGATAGCACCAACAGGAAAATGTTAGGTCGCCCATCTCCTGTCACACCTGGTCTACCCTGTCCTCAGGGAGCCTTGGAGCTGTAGGCAAGCCAGGATAGAAGATGGGAAAGGTCAGGGGTGCTGGGAGAAGGGGCACTTCAATTTCAGCTGTCTGGAGGGAATCCATTTTTAGGGTTCTTAGTCTAGCTATTGTCCCAAGCAACGAAGTGCCCCAGTCACACCAGCCCACAAAACCAGAGCAGAACCACCAGGCAATACCTCAGTGCCTCCGGGCATGCTGTTCCTCCACTGGAGAGTGCTCTCGGAAGGGCTTTTCCCGCGAAAGCATCCGTTTTTCTTCTGCTGCCAATAAAAATCCCCAGCGCTGTTCTTTCTCCTTCGCTTCCTTCGATTGCTTCTGACAGAGTTTGCCGGTTAGCTGAGGTCAGGATTTCCTTTTTACAAACAACCTGCTTTCAGTCAGTGGGGCCAAAGGTTTCCTAAATTACAAACCCTTTCATTTCTTCGGCTACAAGTTCTCCTGTCAGTTTGTATCATGGCACAGAACGGAGAGAAACGGAAACATGCTGAGAGACACCCGAAAGAAAGGAGAACTTTTACTAAGTTTCTCCTTCGGGCTGTCAAAAAACTATCCTGAGTGGGTGGACAGGACTGTTCCAGCCGCAGCTTTTGTGGCTGCATATAGGGCGGGCACATGTTGGAGGCTTGGAATTTCTTCCAGGTCTGTAGTAAATGAACGTACAATACCCGTGGCATTGTCTCTGCATTCTGTTGAATCGATGGCCTCCTTTATATCCCTTGGAATTGGGAAACGCCCATGTCATATTCAGATGTTTTGAAAAGCAGACTTAAAAAGTGGTTGCAAAATGCAGGTGTGTCTGACATTTGTAAATGCTGATTGGAAGATACATTTTAAACCAAGCTCTGGAAGGATGACAGAATTGAGGTGCTTAGGTTTAAAAGAAAAAGCACTCAGGCATCACTGGGCGTCTGTGCTAACGGTGGACAGGATGCCAAATACCTTGGTGTGTGGTGACAGAGCAGGGGCCACCCCAGCTTCTCTGACCTGAGCGCTCAGTGATTCTCTGTTGTACCCAAGAGTCAGTTGGGGTCTTGACTCGAACTTATTTGGTGTGACCTCTTGGGCAAAGCATTTAACCCGAGTTTTGTAATGTGTAAAATGAAAGGGGTTCAACTAGACCAGGGGTGGGCAAACTTTTTGACTCGAGGGCCACAATGGGTTCTTAAACTGGACCGGAGGGCCGGAACAAAAGCATGGATGGAGTGGTTGTGTGAACTAATATAAATTCAAAGTAAACATCATTACATAAAAGAGTAAGGTCTTTTTTTTTTTTTAGTTTTATTCATTTCAAACGGGCCGGATCCGGCCCGCAGGCCGTAGTTTGCCCACGGCTGAACTAGACAGTACTCAGACCTAACATTTGAAGTCAAACTCAGTGTAGAAAGGTGTCAGTCTGGGTGCTGATGCAGGAGCCTGCTCCTAGCCTCTTCTCTTTCTTCCATCAAGGTGGGGTGGGGCGTCACGCTCATGTATAATGAAAGCATGTGTCATACAAGCTCATGTATAATACAAGCTAATGCATAATTTCATTGAGCCTGAAGTTAGGACAGACAGTTAAAGTGCTTACCCCATGGCTGGCAAGCCCCTCGCCCCACGCTCTGCGTGTTCCAGTCCCACGTCCCATGGTGTCTTTCTCATCTTCCCTGCTCCACTCCTTCCCGCTCTAAGCCTCTCTCATGCTCTCCTCACCTCCCACTCTGCTAAAGCCGGCTTCAGCTTCAGGCCTCAGCTCAGACATCAGCTCTTCAGGGAAGCGTTTTTCCTGCCTGCCCCATTGGTGATGCTCATTAAAGCTTGTTTTATCGCTGTAATTAATTCTTTGGTTTTTTGCCACTGCCCCTATCCTTGAGGTCTTGAACTAGACTGTCTTTTGTATCTTGTTTCCTGGGCTAGGACAGAATAATGCAGTGAGCTTACAAGTGGCCTGTGCAGTCAAGGAGCTGGGTCTTTAGTTGGGGAGAAAAAATGTATGTGAATACTTAGCCAGCACAATAATAGGCAATATAAAATAATATGCCAAGCAGAGTCCCAAGCACGGTGTACGTATTAACTTACTTTGTCATAATATTGCCCTAATGTAGATATTGTTATGCCCGTTTTACAGATAAGGAAATGAGGGCACAGAAGTTAAATAACTTGGTTAGCTAAGTCAGGGAAGCTGGGATCAGAACCCAGTCAGTCTGCCTGCACAAGCCAGGCTCTTAACCACTAGGCCACACTATCGATTTCACAGTGGTAGTGAGAGCCCTTCCTTTGGCAGTGTCCACATTCTTCTAGTGTCTCACCTCTTCCCGCCTTCCCCCCCGCCCCCCAATCCAACCCATTAGCAAGTCCTGTCATCGCCGTCACTCAGATTTCCATTTACCCATCCTAATCTGAACCTGACCATTGCTCGCCTGGACTGATAGCTCGTTTTCCCACCTCTGTTGCCTTCTATAGCCCCTTGTTTACCCAACAGCCCTGAGGAAACTCCTCGGTGGCCTCCCATTCCCTTTGGAATAACACCCAAAGCCGTACTGTGACCTCAGGGTTTTCCCAGTCTCCATTCCTTTCCCAAGTCACCTCTTCTTGTCCCATGGGCATGAATTTTACTCCCAGCACACACTAAATAGACGTATTTTCCCCCGAGGACCTTCGCCTATATGCTCTGCCCCTGAACTTTAGATGCCGCCTACCTCTTAGCATTTTGTCTCAGTTCAAACATCTGGTCTCTGTTCATCGTCTCCAAGGAAGCTTATGCACTGTCACTTACCCATATCCCTTGTTTTAATTTTCCATAAGGAGCGTTTCCTAGTGAATGTGTCTTATTCATTAAATCATTTGTGTATTCCCACCTGGTCCAATGCCAACACCATCCTCAGGATCAGGGACCGGCTACCTTCAGCTCCTAGGACAATGCCCTCGTGGTGGGGCCCCCGTGAGTCTTTATTGCAAGGAATCATAGGACTTGCCTGTAAGACTCTAGATGTGGGTGGGAGAAGTTCAAGAGAAGGAACTCACATGGTGCGTGCGCCATGATGGAAAAGAAGGCTCTGCAAGGGGGAGGGCACTGGAGCTTGACCTGGTTTGGGTAGTCTGAGGGTGGAGAGTCATTGCTGGCAATGGGGAGTGCTCTAAGCCAGCAGTCACCAACCAGTGGACTGCTGCTCTAAGCAGAGATAAGGTTTATGGGTTGTTTGGTTTATTAAAGGGCCCAGTTAATGTGCATTGAAGGGTTGCTCAGAATAATAATGTGAGAGAATGTCAGGAAAAAAAGTAGACTGTATTTGGCAACTCTAGAATGTCAGGTAGAGAAATCAGGGCTCTAATCTATGCTCAAAAGGGAGCCTAAACGTTTTGGCCAGGAGATATCGTGTTAAAAATGGTGCTTTAGAAAATTCATCTTTTGAGGGTATGTCCTCCATTTTGCCCATTTCCATACTTTGTTCACCCAGTACCTAAACATCCCTCCACTGCCTACTCTTGCCTCTTTAAAGACTTTCTCCAAGTATTTTTCATATTCAGGAGTTCTGAGCATGCTCAGACCCTTCATAACGCCTGCCTCTTGTCCTGTTGCATGCGTGTGAAAAATGTACATCGTGGGCCTGATAAATAGCTCAGACAACTGCATGTTGGATTTTCACGTGTTTGCATGTTGTGTGTCTAAGATGAAATCCCAGGAGGAAGCAAGTTGTGCTGGTTTATAGCTCTCTGTCCATGAGTAACCTGACCAACTTTGAGAAGTATATCTTGTGGGCATTCTTTTTGATAAAACTGCTTTATATTGCTGTCCCTCTGGTGCATACGTGGCTAAATCTATGCTCTGTCATTCAAGATCTTTAATGCTGAATTCTGTTCTGTGGTAGATACATTTGAGCGAGGGTCTGGCTTACAGAGTTTTGGAGGAAGGAAAGAGCTTTTCCATTCATCTGTTCTTACGGCGAACAAAGAACCAGCTGTGACCCTTCCAGATTAGTCTCCTCAGGGTCTGATGAAGCCGTTACTAGAATTGCTTCATACAACTTCTTTTGTTGGACTATGAGCATTGCAATGCAACCAGGTCCTGCTATTTCTTGTAACCAGGAGATACAGAAGAAAATACTGACAACAAGGAGATTACAGTACTTCACAAATCAATTTTATTAATTTAAACACAAAATTAATGAAGAAGAATTCTGTACACAACTGTGGACACAACACACCTTTATACAATAAGGCCGAGATAAACTTTGTCTTTTCAATCTGCGGAGTACAAAAACATAAAATGAAAAGATGAAAAACTGTCAAATTCTGTTTGCTCCAAGCAAAAAACAAACAACCAAAAAACAACCCCAAACAATTGTTAAATAATTTGGAGAATTTTCAACTGACTAATTCTAGCAGCAACATGAAGAAAGGGAGAGGGTAGCTCTTTAGCTACTTTGGGTCTTAGCTGGTGTTTACCCCACCCAATATAATATTAAAGGAAATTCATCCAAAAAGTAATTTCATGACAACAGACGGCTTTATAGATAAAAGGAACTAGTGCTCAAAGTAATCCCTTTTGGAGAAACATTTTGTATGGTACAACAAAGATGACAATTTTAATTTCCCAGATTTGTTGTGTAATATGTAAGACAGGTGAAAAGAAATATTATTTCTTGGTGGTGATGACTGCCACGTCCACTGCCAGCAATGAACTTTCCTGGGAGGGTGGGTGGAGAGTAGGAAAGCAGAGGGAACATGAATGTAGACAGTAATGCAAAGTTTTGCTAATTTCCAGATGTATGGTGATGTCCTCCTTTATCTAAACAAGGAAATGCAGACATGATCATCTAAGCACATGAAAACTTTGCTAGTCTCCAATTCATGAACCATTTCATTAATAAAATATATCTATCATCCACATATTTTATGTGGGAAGAAGCATTTGAATAATCATTTTTTCCGAGTACTTACATATAATACATTAGTCTTTGAAAATGAAAAAGTGAGGTTCTAAGAGGATTTTTTATTCAAACGATTAAAGACACTGCTGTATTATTTTACCAAGGCCTTCCTCACAGCACACACAAAACAATGAACTGATTGGGGGAGGGGAGATGTGGAAAATGAAATCCTATTGACACTTGACATCCATGCTTTTGGTCTTGACAACATTATCTAAAAAAAACAAACAAAAACCTATTATCTACATATTTATACCCAGTACACTTTGCTAAGGCCCTGCACACGAATCTGTGCATGTACTGCCTCATACTTCTATCAAGGCATTGCTGCCTTTCAATATTTTCTAAACAATATGTAAAAGAATCATCCATTATTACAAATTTACACCAAAAATTCTTTCTGTACATGATTGTCTCAGTGATGTACATATTATACGTTTAAATTAGACATACTTTAAACTACTTTGCAATGTGCTAAAATTCAAAGTCCTTGCTGTGTCATGAGGCCAAGGCCTTTAATCGCTTATTTCTTAGGCTATTCATAGTCTCTTCAATTACTGGATGCCCACAAAGTCTGTTCGAGGGAACTGAATGGTACTCGGATTATACCTCAATAAAGCTGTTTTTTAAAAAGTCTGTTCATAAATAAGTAGAGGTGTGCAGATTACCCTGGGTATGAGACACCGAAAAGTAAACCTTCTTTGTAAGAACATCCCCCACTGGTGTTCAGGAAACATTTCCGTCTTCATTGTGCAATCAAGTTGCTGTATTGGAGAAGCTGTTTATGTCACATTGAAGATGCTAAAGACTCAGGCGTCTGCAGGTCCTTTCTTCACAGGTTTGAACCATGTAGTTAACCATGCAGTTAATGTGGCGAAGACACATTACATTGTACTAGAACATTCTCATGGCTTCTTTTCATTGGATTCACAGTACTCGAGGCAACAGCTGTTTGAAGAAATAGACGTGCGTGGGCCTTCATTTACCACGAGGGCAGAGGTGAAGGCCGGCAGCAGCTGGGCGTCACCACGCTGAAATGGGTACGTTCGCTAGTCCGGCACCGACATAGACTCAGGCCTGCTGGGTTCGTTCATTCCTGGTCACAGGGCAGTTACGCGGTTTCAAAGTGCTATGTGGCGGTTACAGGTACTCCAGTTCCAAGGCGTGATGGAGGGCCATGAGGTCCGAGTGGCTGGAGATCCTCCAGAAGGGCATGGCGTGCTGGGGAAGGGCAGACACGGGTGAGGACAGACCAGGCTCCAGCCCCAGCCCCAGCCCTGAAACCTGCCTTTGCAGTCCATTCTAGGGCTCCTCCCCACCGCACTGCCAGCTAAGATCTTAACATCACAGCTGTTTAAGCCCAAAATCCAAACTGAATGCTCCCCTAAGAACACTGGGACTGCATTTTAAAATGTGAAATTTCTTGAGTAGATCTACACCGTGACTTGAACACAAATTTCAAACGTAGATAAAACAGTAGCTGTGACTGAAACTTTGTGAAAAACCGTTGCCTTGGGAAATATGTATCCAGTGGATATTTAATGCCGAAGGTCTAAGAAGTTTTCCTTAGTGGGCAGTATTTTACAAAGCTTCATTTTACTCATGTAAGAAGCAACTTTTTTTTTCATTTATTTCCATCAGGCATTCTTTGCATTGACCTTAAAATGGCTTTACCACATGAGGAAACCTTAAAAGAACATTTTTAAAGGTGTTTTTTGTTTTTCTAATTGTTTCATCAATTTAAAAATTAGGTTTAAATGATGGTAATATTTGTAAAACACCTGAATTAGCCAGAGACAAAACAAAACAGGTTACTTCGTCCATTTAGGATGGACACAATATTATAGACTTTCACTGTTCAAGGTATATAGTAAGTATTTACACACCAGCAAAATCTTTTTCTTAAGTAAGAGACAAAATTCTATTTGGGTTGTTTTTTTTGGCACAAAAATAATGTGAAGGCCTGGGTATACTTTGCAGTTACGGTTCTATGGAATTGTTTAAAAATTCAGACTAATAGAATTTGGCATGGAAGCAAACAGTGGGCCAGAGAGGTTTGGGGGATTATCTGTAGGGAACAGTGGAAACTACTCACTGTTTTGGTAGCTGTTTTATTCTGGGAAAGCAAACTATTAAATTACTTATTAACATGTCTTTTCCCTGGTAATCTGCTAAAAGCATATACCATAGTCTAATATCAAATGTAGACCTTTCTTGACTCTATATCTTTATCCTTTGTAACAGAATAGTTCAGAATCAGGTACTAGAAATCTGTTTTCAAATTTTTAGGATGCTCCATCGAAAACCTTAGACTAGAAAAACAGGCTGTACTATTTTGCATTCATCCATTCATGAATGTTTTGAATTTGCAGGCATGGTGTACCAGCAGTTCTCAACCTTCCTAATGCCGCAACCCTTTAATACAGTTCCTCATGTTGTGGTGACCCCCAACCATAAAATTATTTTCATTGCTACCTCATAACTGTAATGTTGATACTGTTATGAATTGTAATGTAAATATCTGATATGCAGGATGTATTTTCATTGTTCGCGACCCACAGGTTGAGAACCGCTGTCACTGTAGACGATGCCCCTGGCCTACCCTGTCACAGCCTGTGGATGAGTAGCAGAAATGTACACTAATCATGAGTGTGCACCTATGTGTTATAATAGGAATAGGAGGGGCCAAGCCCCTTTGCCAGGGGAACTGGGAAACACCTGATAAGAGGAGGTAACAGCTGAGCAAGGTCTGAAATGACAACTACTAAGAAGAGTTCTTTAATGGCTGTTTGTACTGGGGGTTAGAGGATAAAGGAGAAATTCACTATTAGGATACTGGCTATGCGAGAGAGAAATATATGGTTAGTGACATGATTGGCTGTGGGAGCCAAATGACGCAAGGCCTCCTGAACCCTGGTAAGGAGTTGATTAATGATAATTATAGTTACGATTTATTGAGTATGGTGTCAGGCATGGTCCTAGCACTGGTCACAGACTCTCCCATGTAAGCCTCTCTATTATCACTACTTTACTGATGAAAAGCGGAGGCTTAAGGAAGGAACAGAGAGATGTGAATAGCAGCTGGTAAGGAGTAAACCCAAGATTCATACAAGGTCTGGTCTACACCTGAGGCCTATATGCTATAATGCCTCCTAACTATTGTCTGTGGCCTTTATATTCAGCAGTAAAAACACACACACTCCTTCCCATGCTCTGTTTGGTAAGGGACACTGAAAAATCTGAGTGACTATGATACGTGGATTGGGTTTGAAAAATGTTGACTCAAAACTTTCCTTATTTTTCTCTTATTAGAATAGAAATCCATGCATATTGTAAAATATTTGTAAAATGTAGAACTATATGAAGAAAATCACCTCTGCTCCTACTACCCAGATAACCTTCATCAGTGTACCCACTCATATTTAAAATGGTGCATATGCAGTAGTACAGGCATATCTCATTTTATTGTTTTTCACAGATGTTGCATGTTTCACAAGTTGGAGACAAGATACTAACTTTATTGCAGTGGTCTGGAACGGAATGTGCAATATCTCTGAGGTATGCCTGTGGGTACCATTCAGTATCCTGTTCATTTTACTACCTAAGCCCATTTTTGATACATCACTTTTAAGGATAATCATTCACTAGTTATTGAAAAAAACTGCAAGTACACAAATGTACACAGTATTCTTTTACATTTAACCATCTACTTGGTATCTATTTTAATATTCCTTTTTAGTTAATAATTAACTTGTTTTTCTTTTTGTATAATTTGTCAGAGATTCCCTGAGCAGCTGAATAATGGGAGTTATAGAGTAGTTCTATTGCTCTTATGTCCCAGGATGTAACAGAGAGTGCTAAAGGTGCTTCAGAGAGCCATCCAGAAATTTTCAGGGCAACTGTCTTTATAAATACATATAAAAGTACTTGTGGAATGCTGTTTTCCAGAGCATGTTCAGTCAAATTATTTTGCATGCCAATTATCTGAAGTTAGACTTGTTCCTCACAGACAACAATACAAACTAGAAAGCTATTGGTGCTCTCAGAAGCATGTCATGTAGAACACAATGATTGGCAAAGAAATTGAAAAGGGAACTGAAAAAACCCGGCTAATTTTTGGTACATGGTTAATGTATAAATTGAGCATTTAATTCCATAGTAAACAAAGGACCTGGACAATGGCTATGAGTTTTTTCTTTATGGGTTGAGGAGGTAATGTCAGCCTTGAGCACATTTAATTTAAACTGTTTTACTTTTAGACCATATTAAAAACATGTTATGGAAGGAAGGTGAGATTATCTGCAAAGATCCCTGCATTGCCTTGTTTAAAGCCATCAGGATTTCAATGACAGTAGTCTTCCTATGTAGAGCATGTCAAGCAGCACCCTGAAACATGTTCAAATGATGCAATATGCCTGTGGTATGTTACAGACAACTCATCACAGTGCAGTAGTAACAGGGTCATTCGAGCAAAAGTGTAAAAGTTTCTACAACGATAAGTGGCAAACCTTAGGTGCATGTGAAAGAGAACAGGCCGTCTCTGGGGACACTCCCAACGTGAGGACAGCAGCTCCATTATCAGCAGTGCTGCATAACATGATAGGTAATGATCTCAGCTATAATCAGGTGTTCCACTCTCTCTAAAATATGTACACTTACTATAACGTGACTGATAAGAAGATGACTGATCTCAGGGGCTCAAACTCATGTTATTTCCCCTAACTAGGCACGTACTGATGTGAAGATTTTATGGATCTAAAGGAGATTCCCAGGACAAGGAGGTCCAAGGTACATAATTTTTTTCTGCACTAGTGTTTAGCCTGGAACAAATATTTCTTATACCAAGTCAGATATAGTGCCATGGTGGGAGAAGGAGGTGCTAGAACAGCAGTTCTCAATCTGTGGGTCATGACCATTGGAAAACACATATAGCACATCAGATATTTACATTACGATTCATAACAGTAGCAAAATTACAGTTATGAAGTAGCAATGAAAATAATTTTATGGTTGGGGGTTACCACAACATGAGGAACTGTATTAAAGGGTCACGGCGTTAGGAAGGTTGAGAACCACTGTGCTAGAATGAGGAGATGATACCATACTCTCAAATCTGACTTTAGTCATGTGGCTTTGAATTATGACATAGTTTCCTTGGAAGTTGTTTATTTAACTGTAAAATGAGGGTTTAGGGAAAATGACTCGGGGTTGTTTCTACGTTTAATAAAGTCTATGACCTATATAAGTACTATAGCTACAGAAGATGATTAATATATAATATGTACATGATATATGTCCTCATTGACAAGAACCAGCAGGCAAGCCATATCTACTAAAACTATTTCATTATAATGTAAGGTAGTATAGGATTAAGGGTCAAAATGACCAAGCCAGAGCAATCAGGCAGGAAATAAAAGGCATCAGAATTGGAAAAGAAGAAGTAACACTGTCTCTTTTTAATGACGTAAATTTATAGAGCATTTAGAAAATCCTAAAGACTCCACCAAAAACCTATTAGATCTAATCAATAAATTCAGTAAAGTTGCAGATACAAACATGCTAGCATTTATACATACTAATAACAAATTATCTGAAGAAATAAAGAAAATGATCCCATTTACCAGTGTCAAAAACAATAAAATATTAGAAATAAATTTAACCAAGGAAGTGAAAGATCTCTACACTGAAAACTTCGAACTATTGATAAAAGAAATAAAAGACACAAATAAATGGAAAGGTATCCTGTGTTCATGGATTGGAATAATTAATATTGTTAAAATGTTGATACTACCAAAATTCATCTGCAATACCAACCAAGATTCCAACGGCATTTTACAGACATAGAAAAAAAAAATCCTAAAATTTATATGGAACCACAAAAGATCTGAATGGCCAAAGTGAATCTGAGAAAAAAAAATGGGAGGCATCACTCCCTGATTATCAAAATATTATGGTACTAGCATGAAGAAAAACACATAGACCAATGAAATAGAATCGAGAGTCCAGAAATAAACCCATGCATATATGGTCAACTAATATTTGACCAGCGAGCCAAGAATACTAAATGGAGAAAAGACAGTATCTTCAGTAAATGATGCTGGGAAAATTGGCATTTTGCATGTAAAAGAATGAAACTAGACCCCCATCTTGCATCACTGACAAAAAATAACTTGAAATGGATCAAAGACTTAACTGTAAGACTGGAAACCACAAATCTAGAA